AATGTAAATAAAATAAAATATGAAGTCCTCTGTATATATCGGCCCCCATCGACATGCATAGAGACATTCAATCGAAACCTATGTGATTGTTTAAGTAGTGAAAAATGCAATGTAATCCGTATACTAACGGGCGATATAAATATTGATATTTTGAATGACTGGGAGGCTACCGAGGAATATAAAAATATTCTAAGTTGTTTTGGATATACAGCGTATATTAATGAGTGTACCAGACCACTAACTGGGACGTGTTTAGATCATTTATATATTCAAAACGTTAGGGAAGGGATAAATGTTGAATCTTGTATATTTCATTACAATATAACAGATCATTATCCAATTGCTTTAATGATGGATCAAGAAAAGAATGTAACGAAAAATACTAAGGTAAAATTGGAAAAGAAATATGTAAACTATAAAAATTTAAGAAATGATTTGATAAACGAAAAATGGGAAAATTTATATAATACTTTTAATATTGAATCGGCTACTATTGCGTTTATTAACAAATTGAAAGATTATATCATGAAAAATACAAATACAGTTTCAAAAAATTGGAAAAATAAACCACGTAAAAGCTGGATAAATCAAAAAATAATAGAAGAAATAAATGTTAAAAATGACTTGTATAAACAGACACAGCAGTTTCCAATAATCCTGAAATAGCGGCAAAGTATAAGAAACAGAAGTATGAAACACAAAAAATGATTACTATATCTAAGAAAAAGTATGCGGAAAAATTAATAGAAAAAAATCGTAACAAAACAAAAGGTCTTTGGGATACCGTTAACAATATACGAAACAAAACAAAACCTCAATCCAGCATAACGCGTATAATAACAGAGAGTGGAATAAACTTAAATAAGCAACAAGACATATGCAATGCATTCAATAGATATTTTAGTTCTATAGGGAAAAAACTGTCACAAAATATTACTGTTCCTAAAAATTACAAGGAAGAAAAGAAAAGTATTTTAGAATCAACAATGTACTTATTCAACACTACTGATTACGAAGTGGAAGATGTTATAAAACAGCTAAAGTCAAATAAAAAACCTGGATATGATGAAATCTATTCTGAAACATTAAAGGAAATTAAGTCGGAAATATCAAAACCTTTGGCATTTTTAATTAATCTCAGCTTTAACAATGGTTACTTCCCGGAGGTGTTAAAAACGGGTGTCGTTATACCCATCTACAAGAGTGGAGATAAGTATGATATTTCTAATTATCGGCCTATTTCGTTAATTTCTAATGTGTCTAAAATCTACGAAAAAATTATTAAATCGAGAATTGTTAAGTTTTTGGACAAACATCGAATAATATCAGAGAGACAGTTTGGATTTCGGAGGGGTAGATCCACAGAAGATGCAATACAATACGTTTCGTCTTGTATTTACAATGCCGTGGATAAAAAAATACCGGTCTTGGGTATCTTTGTAGATCTGTCAAAAGCTTTTGATACGGTGAGTCATGAGATATTACTAGAAAAATTAGAGAATTGCGGGCTTCGAGGTAATGTGTCAAAACTAATAAAAAGCTACTTATCTGGTAGAATGCAGGTAGTTAAGATTGGTGAGTATAAGAGTAATTACGAACGGATCTCTGTGGGTGTACCCCAAGGAACCGTGCTGGGACCTCTTCTGTTCACGCTTTATATAAATAATTTACTACTTATTGATAGTCCTGGACAAATTATTAGCTTTGCAGATGATACAACAATTCTTTATTCTGCAAATACTTGGGCGGAATTAAAAACTATAGCAGAAAGAGATTTTTTAGAAATAAAAAAGTGGTTCCAGTACAATAAATTAACGCTAAATGTGAAAAAAACCAAATACATCTCATTTACTTCGTATGCCAATAATCTTCCACATATGGGTTCTCTTATAATAGATAAAGAAACAACTATTCCAGAAGAACAATGTATTTCTTATTTGGGTGTTATGTTTGATAGTCATCTGCGTTGGAACAACCACATAACAACACTAGTAAATAAATTGCGTAGACTCGTGGGCACATTTAAATATTTACGCGAATATCTAGACGAAAGACATCTCATAACAATATACTATGCACTATTTCAATCACAAATTTGTTATGGAATAATTGGGTGGGGAGGCGTAGCTGATAAATATCTAAAAAAATTAACTGTTTTACAAAGGTGGGTATTAAAAATTATACTAAAAAAGCCCTTACTGTATCCATCTGATAGATTATTTTCTGATAGTAATGTTCTCGATGTTCGCAAATTACATTTTTTAAAATTAGTTATTTTGATACAGAGAGGAGGTTTAAAAAAAACAGAACTATCACATCAATATGACACCAGAAAAAAGTCGGAAAATCTACTAACACTAAGATGTAAGAAAGTAATTGGACAAAAAGGCTCGGAGTATCTTGCGCCGAAGTATTATTCGAAATTACCTGTTGAGATAAAAACTCTAAAGAACTTAAAACAATTTAAATTTTTAACAAAGAAATGGCTAATGGATTTAGATTCATATCAAATTGGAATTGTGACTTGTTAAATCAGGACATAAATGGTTGTGTCATTCTCTCCAATCAGGCAGAGCAAATACGTGTAATAATAATGGAAAAAAACTACTGTTTCATTTTCTATTTTTTATATGTATGTTGATTGTATTTGGTATTCAGGAGGTTTTTATTGTGGAAGTATTTTTTACATATTACCGGTTTGTTGAATTTTAGAGTGTATTTATAATTTAAGTGTTTTCTAAAATTATAGTTGTAAATCTATGCCTCGCACAAAAAATGTTTCATTTTTTCTGAGGTAAATTTATGTTTATTGTATGTTTATTTATTGTAACATTGTAATTTAATAGGTATATAAATAAACATTATTATTATTGATAGTACATCTCATTGTTTTTTATTTTATTTTGGTGTGTTTTTTTTCAACGAATTATTTTTTGTTTGTAGAGTACTACTATTATGGCACTTTAACTATCACCAGTATAATACAGTAGTATAATTTTTATCACTTTTAACAAATATTATTTTTTTAAACAATTTAAAAATAATAGAGCAAAGTAAGAATAGGTAGTAACAATTATTATATCATGTAATCTCTGAATCATGTATCATGTACAATCTCTTTATTTAATGCGATATAACGATTTTACTATAATTTTTGTTTATTGAAGTCGCGCCGCGCGCCGCCGCCGGTCCAAGTTACTGTGGACTTCCATTACTTCACAGTGGTCAAACCATCTTGTTAATTATTTATTGTTTTATGTTTTGTTACATTGCATCATGATCAATGACCATACACACATATGATGCAACGCAAATTTTGTTTGCTGTGTGATTTGATTACAAAATAAAAATTTCAAATTATTGTGTAAGAGACAAGCGTTATAAAATAATTTATCCAAATAATTCGAATACGTACCTGGTTTCCTTTGCCCGCCTTCAAAAGCGTCAGCAACAAAATTCACGTGAGGGCGCCACATTACGGGCAACAAAAATGATCAAAATTGGGTTTGCAGAGGGTAGGGCGTCACAAAATTGCGACCATGTTTTTTAATATTTTGAAATAATTTTTGTTTCACTTTATTAAGGAAGCTTCCGGACATGCTCGTAATTAGTGGAGGGAAATATAATTATAAGCACGTCTTAAGATGTATACAAACAAATAAAAAAAGATTCGTGAAGAAAGGTCACATGGTTTTTGCAGCATTTCGTGATTTTTTAGGGTTCCATACCCAAAGGGTAAAAACGGGAACCCATTACTAAGACTTCGCTCTCCGTCCGTCCGTCCGTCACAAGTCTATCTTATGAACCGTTATAACCAGACAGTTGAAATTAATATATAATATATATTATATATAATATATTAACGCTATAAGAACAAATACTAAAAACAGAATTAAATAAATGTTTATAAATAAAAAAATACTTTCACTAAACATTATCTTTTAAGTAAGAATTTTACAAAGAATCTTTCAAGTCCTCGGTGGCCGCGTGGTTTAAAGCGTTAGGACTTTACGCTGCTATGACGTTGGAGCCGTAGTAAGGCAAATTCGAATCCTAGTGAAGGCGACTTTTTTTAATCGTTTTTTTTAATTTTTACGTATTTTTACATATTTATTTTTACTTTTTACATATTTATTATTGATTAATACAATTATTTTTAGTAATGTGTTTCATTTTTTTTTAAATTACTTATACGCGCATTCAAAATTTCAGCTAATCGGAAAAAAAGTTTAATAATATAGTTCTAATGTTGTATAGATAATGAATGGTACGGAACCCTTAGTGCGCGAGTCCGACTCGCACTTGGCCGACTCGCGCGAGGCACTCGCACCAAACCAATTTTTTTATTTATTACCATCGAAACTCGAAGGTATAATAACAGGTATCATATCAACCATAAATAGAGTATATCATATAAAAATGGTTTGAATATTTGCTAGAATCGACCCTTGATAAAAAAAGACTAGATTTAAGTTTCCCTTTGATCTAGTTTGTATACTAATCTTTTGGTTTTTCTGCACGCGTGCAAAAACTACACGAAAACACTATATCTTATAGAAAATTTTGCGTTGAATTTGAGAGATTTCATCTGAAAAATTATTAATTTGGGAGAAAAGCGGCAACAAGGGGCAGAAAATAATAATATTTTAGTGCAGTCTACTGGTCGCAGCGACCAGCCAAAGGCCAGGTCGTGAGTGCGCGTTGTATCATTTGATTTAATGGTATTAGAGGTAGCAGCGACGTCAATGTGTCTGAGCCCTAAGATCAACACACAGGTGAATTGGAAAATATGTACCTAATTAATCATGTTGGAGGCAAAAATTTGCCATGTTCGTCTTTAATGTGTCAGCCATTACTGGGGGTTTACCTTACTCATGCTTCACTCAACACCAAACAAAAAAATATTTTAGTAATAAAAATAAAAGTAAAATTAATGGAATCATAAATAATAAAAAAATAAAAAGAAATTATTGAAATTTTTAATTAAAAAGAAATCATACCCTTTTTAGTTTTACAGGTTGTCGGTCTTGTATTGATAACTTCATTACGATCGGTACGTCCACGAACATTTCCATTACCACCGCCACGTTTTTCCTCAACTCCCGTATCACCTCCTTGAGCCACTGTAAATAATTCGAAATTAACAAAACAACCAAAAAAATAAATTTCATAAAAATTCAAAATTATACTTACCACGACCTCCATGGCTACTTTCACTAGACACATGTCTTTCATCACCGCCCCCCAGTCTTGATCCTCTGCCTACAGATTGCTGAAAGATACCAAAAATATTATATTGGGTGTTTTTCAGAAGTAGCTCACTTCTATAACATTTTTATTTTTTCAAATAAAAAGCCGAGATTTGCTATGTTAGTATATGTATGACATAAATCAGGATTGATTGCCATATTCAATTATTTTCAATCATTTCCTGTTTCACCGGAAATTATTACAACTTCTGATTTTTAAATGGTACTCTGAAATAGAATGTACCTATATGCCAAATATGCCAACTTTTGACATTTTCGCTTAAAAAAATAGTATTATTTAAAATTTCAATCTATGTAGTAGTGCCACAATAAATGTAACGATATTTTGACTCCAAATAGCAAGTATGTGGCACGATATTATTCGTAAAAAAATGCTTTTTCCAATTATGAGAATGAACCACTCTCGTTCCATTTGAAAAAATTTAGTTATAACTAAAAATACGATTTGGGAATCTTTTAACCAACCAGAAAAAGAGACAAAAAACATTATAAGATCAAATCTAATTTTCCATAGCTCGTTGATTAAAAATTCTAGAAAAACAATTGAAATTTAAAATATGTACATTTTTTTAAATTGAAAATCTCATATTTTGAGACATATGATATGTGATCCTATTCAGAATGTCATTCTCTATCAAATAAAGTAAAAAAATACCGGGGGTACCATTTGAAAGAGGAAGTAACCCAAACTAATCGAATACGTCACCCCCCCCCCCCCTCGCGATTCATATCACATACCAAATCTCGTATTTTATCTGAAAAAAATAAAATAGCTGTAGGAGTGAGCCACTTTTGAAAATCACCCAGTAAGCATAGTCCCGATTATCCGAGTTGCTTGACGAAACAAAAATAAACGTCTTGGATGTTTTAAAATCTATTGTCTATTATATTTAATACAAATGTAGATACATATTATAAAGTTTGTTTTATGGAAATATATTTTGCATTACATATTTGGTTGATTTTTATTTTTGTACATTGTACGTCGAAATAATCTTTTAGCTATTTAATATTTTTTACACGTTTGCATTATAGTAGGTATTTATATACATATTATTTAGCTAATTCACGTTTAAAAGATTTAAGCCTGGTTGTCACGGTCAAAGTGTACTTGGACCAAGTCAACCGCGGATGCTGTCACATAAACATACCTAGAGCAGGGTTGGCAAATATCATGATATTTATATAAATATCAAATATCGGATATATATCTGATATATATCCGATATATATCAAGTTTTGATATTTATTTTTGTTTTTATTTTTTTATGTAAAATTGTGTTTAGTATCAAGTAAAATCAAGAGCTCAAGCAAATATTTTTATTTCAACTTAATTATTGTTGCTTTGCCCATAATTACAACATTAAAACAAAAATATATAAAAAATATACAGAAATTCTAAAAAAATAAACAGAACTTCTAAAAAATAAACAAAAATTCTAAAAAATAGACAGAAATTCTAAAAAGTAAACGGAAATTCAAAAAAATAAACAGATATGCTAAAACTAACAACAAACAAATTTATATTTGATTTATTAATTTTGTTAATGTTAAATCATCGTCAGATTCGTCAGAGTCAGAATAAATTGATACTTTCAAAAAAATAAACAGATATTCTAAAACTAACAACAAACAAATTTATATTTGATTTATTAATTTTGTTAATGTTAAATCATCGTCAGATTCGTCAGAGTCAGAATAAATTGATACTGTTTCTGGCACAGTTTTTGGTACATTTGAATTGTCCCAGATCCAATCAATATTATCTTTTTTGTTTTTTCTTTCCGACTGTTGAGTTTCATTTTTTTATAAATATCATGATATATATCAAGGTATAAATATCATGATATATATCCGATATATATCATTGATATATATCATGCCAACCCTGACCTAGAGTAGTCCTTGGATTGTCTTTACAAGAGGAAAAACTTTTATTAACATTTTGAGTTAATAAAATATAAAATAATAAATATAGACTTTTTTATTGCCCCCACTTTATGTTTTATTAGATCATTAGAAGTGTAACATAATTAAAACAAAATACATTTATACACCAACAATACATTTCATACACCAACAATAGAGCTTATATAGCGCCTATTTTTTGATTTAACAAATAAATTATAATATAGCAAAATATTATAGACTACTAATTAACTGTTACTAAAAATACTATGTATTACCAACTATGTACTTATTTATGATTAAACTATTTTTTTTATTCGGTTCATAAATTTATCATTTCTAAAATGTCAAAATGACTTTAATAAAAAAGTTTAGTATTAACACGAAAATGATGATCGACTCTAAATATCAGAATGCACAAACTAATTAAAACACAAACTATAAACACAAAACACTGAAATCACCGAACTTTCCGACAAATCAGGAATATCTGAATTAATAATTATTTTAATAATGATTTAAAAATAACTTGATGAATCACCAACATTTGGTCACCTAGACACCATAGATACTAGACACCATAGATAAATGAAACAAGTTTAGATTGGAAAGTATCCATAAGGACAATGTAAACACTATTTGGCGCTATTCTTGCAGCGGTCGCGACCCAAAACTTTTGAAAATTTCGGAGCGGTTCGGCTTTTTCCGGAATTATATCGCCAAATATTGTTTGTTCAAATTTATTTTTATTTTCTTTTAAGTTTATAAATAAAATAGAGTGTGTTGCATACAAGAAACTTTATTTTATATAAGGACATGTGTGAAATACCTATGAAATATTGGAAACCGACGTTATGCCACGATCCACGATGGTTTTTGCAGTTAACAGTTCACAGCACAGCTTTTTAAGTTTTTAATGCCACTTTTTCACAATTATCACCGGTTGGAGTAAATAAAACTTGAATTAAACTCACAAGATAGCTATAATTACTTTGCAAATGGACGCTATAAACACTTTTCGGAATTTCTTTAATGAGAGCGGTTTAGATTTTGAAAGATTTTATGATTTTTGAAGATTCTGACTTTGACAAGAGAAAATTATTTCTGTTTTGTTTGCCGTTGTATAGCGAACGCTATAGCAGCGCCAGATCGCGTATAACGGTCGCGACCCAAAATAATTTCGCGACCTAAAATTTTTACGAGCTTTCCAATCTAAATTTGTTGCATTTATCTATGCTAGACACATAGACAAAAACTAAACCATAGACAATAGTCAACATAGGGACTGTCATGTCATCTTCATATATAAATTAGAAACCTGTACTTGTAATATAATGTTTATTGCGCCGTCTGGCGATGCGGAAGAAACTAAATTTGGAGTTCTATAAAATTACCATTGAGTGTCTAGGGCATGAGTATCACGTGTTCTGATAACGATTATCCACTCTTTCCATACCATTGAACTAAATAAATTTTGTGCTTCTTTAATAATTTAATAACATAACAGCAAAAAATATGACGTTTAAATTAAATGAAATTAAAATTTTATCAATATATTTTAAATAATTCTAGTTTTTTTTCTCAGGTAAGATGTTGACAGACGATGACAGAAAAAGAGCAGATGACGTTCATACCAATCTATTTCACTAAAAAAAGTTTTTAATATTTTTTAAGTTAACTATGGATGCACCATCCGTCGTTGTTTAACCAGTTTTATTGATTTATTTCAAAAATGACAGATCGTATTTCAATTTCAATATTATTGGTTTGACGAAACGATGAACGACAAACGGACGCCGATGCGTATGAACTCGACTTAAGATTTTTGAGATTCGTCAAACTCGTGCCAAATTATATATGGGTTATAATTTGTGTTAAATTATGTCAAATAGAAATGATAAATATTTTGGTTGTTTTTTTTTAAATTAAGAGGAGGAAAACTCCAGGGAAAATTAAGTGTTGACCCAGCCCATAGTTTACAGTTAATATTCAGTACCCAGAGAGTTGTATTAGCCACAAATAAAGTTTGTATATCATCTTGTATATGGTACCAAAAACTGGAGTATCTGTAAAATCACTTCACACAATAGGTAAATATATGCTGTTTTTTTTTCTCAGGTAAGATTTCGACAGACGATGACGGAAGAAAAGCAGATGACGTCCCATACCAATCTATTTATTTTACTAAAAAAAGTTTCTAATAATTTTTAAGTTATCTATGGATGGGTTTAAATATAAATCCGTCATGCGTCGTGTCTTCTTGTTTTTAACCAGTTTTATTGGTTTATTTAAAAAATGACAGATCGTATTTCAATTTTATTGGTTTGACGGAACGATGAACGACAAACGGACGCCGATGCGTATGAACTCGCCTTTAGATTTTTGTCATTTTTGACGCTTGTCAAAGTCTTGCCAAATTATAGGTTATAATTTTGTGTCAACTTTTGTTAAATACCCTGCGTTTTGGAAGATGATGCGTTTTGATTCGTATTATTGCGTGTGTTTTGTGTCTTTTGAAGTCAAGTGGAGGAAAAATCGAGTGAAAATTAACTGTAGACACAGAGCACAGTTTATGGTTAATACACGCTGCCCAGGCAGAAAGTCTTATACACCAATAAAGTTGCCATCGATAAAGTTTGTATACCATTTCGTCGTAGGTAAGTGCCATCTCGTATATAAGTATCAAACTAAACACATTCTAAAAACTGGAGTAGCTGTAAAATATCGACATCACACGATAGGTAAATAATGGATTTTAGTACTGCAGGAAAATAATGTCAAAAGGTACTGGTTTAAAAAAATTAAGATTAAAGTTAATTAATCAACCTTTAAGGCATAAAATTTGGTAGGTGTTATTATTAATAAAATAGTTTGTTGTATTTACCTATGTTGTTTTATTTATACCTGTGGAATATTACAAATTTGTATTTGTACATAAGTTATATTGATAAATATCATCATAAATGCGGGTAGTTTCATAAAGCTTGAAAGTAAATAATAGTTCTTTTTTATATTTTTTTGGTATGTAGTGTCTTGTTCTTGTTTGTTTTGTATTAACACATACCGTTTTTATTAAATAAAATAACTCGATTAC